ACGTTGATTGGATGGGAATTAGGAAATAAGGGTCATGAAGACTCAAATTGTCCTTGAGATTTAGGACATAGGAATAGTGACAAGTTTGGGATGAGTCCTGTGAAGTCAGTTTTACATGTTAAGATTGTATTCATCAGGGATCATTTGCAGAGAAGAGATGTCACTCCAGCTTGTTAGCAGGAAGGCACTTATCACAGTATATTAGGTGGCTTATGAACTTGCCGAGAGGGCTGAGGAAACAGAATCTAGGTTGAGCTTTCAGGAGCAACCTCTAATGCTACCCCTCACAGTGGGGGTACAAGAGTAGCTGCTCTCTCTTGAATGATCTTGCAATCAGGAAACTGCTCCTTTAGAGTCATGACACCACTGTTTCAAACAGGAAACCGCCATAATCAGGAAGCCGATACTGCTGCCAGGTCTAGAACCACTGTGAATCTGCAACAGATCATGTCAGCAGAATGGATGTTCCTGTCCCTAACCAGACTCACAGCACCTACCGACCTAGTATCTGAACACTGAAGCTTCTGCAGATGCACCTGCAGAAAAATCGAACACCTTCATAGCTGGGCTTGGGTAAAATCTTGTCCATCTTGGACTACACGCTTCTAGAACCCAAGCTGCCAGAGAATTAGGAAAGTATATCTTGAGGCTTCCAACTTCTGGAGCAGGGAAAGTCAAGCTAGAACAGTACTTTGCAGACTGTGGGTTGTGACTCATGACAGCATCATAAAAATCAATTCAGGTGGTCACGACAAGATTTTTTTCTTAGTCACGAGTAGTCAGTGTTACTTAATGTAACCTTTGTCTTATGGTTTTGTGTGTGTGTCTGTGTATACATGTCTTCGGTCGCAAAGTAAAGCATTTCTTCCTCTGAGCCACGGTAAAAACAAAAACAAAAACAAAACAAACTTGAAAGTCACTACCTTAGGTGTGGAGTGCCAATCTTCCACTGCAAGATCTCAGAAAGAACTCATGTGTAGAGCCCAGTGGCTACTGAAAATATGGGGTTGAATTTCAGAAGGAATCAAAGCTGGAGATATAGATTATGTAGTTATTGGCAAGAAGATGCCATTGAAGCCAAGGGGAAGTTGAGTAAGCCATCCAGGGAGACAGCATGGATTGTGAAGAGAAAGGTGGGGGATAGACACCAAGAAATACAGACATTTGATCTTCGGGGAGAATTTTCCGTCTGGGGTTGTACTCGTCCTTCCTGCACTCTGGTATTTTCCATTTGCTCTCCAGGGAGAGAACTGGATCCAGGGAAGCCCCAGAATGCTTTGGAAAAACCAGCCCATGGCATGGGGGCCTGGCACCACACTGGCCCTCAGGACTTGTGTGTGGAGTGGATGTACAGAGCGCAGAAGTTCTAGGAAAAATGGAAAGAGCTTTTTAGATTCCAAAGCTCCAGCTCATGAGCTGTGACCACAGAGGGGTCTAGCCTCACCTGCAGAGGATGACTCAGTAGAGTTAAGAGGACTAGTTATAATTTTCAAAGAGTATTTCTGCTATATAGAAAAATGGCAACAAGGAGTGGGAGCTGTATGGGAAGATATGCTCATTGCAGCAAAATCAGGAGACAAGCTAAATATTCACCCGTAGAAGCCTGGCCAATCCAGTATATTCTAACAATGGAATAGGATATCACAGTTAAACGAGTGAGCTAGATATACAGGTGTCAGTCTGCATAAATCTCAAAAAATTTACTTACCCGAAAAATTTCAAGTCACAAAATGTGATATGAAGTACGATGTCATTTATTGAAAAAAATTCATTTATTGAACTTGTTAAAGCCACACAAAATTGTACTATATATTCTTATGGGAAAACAAGTATAAAATTATGTAAGTGAAGGGGCTGGGCACACTTCCAGGCAGTGGCTATCTCTGGGGAGGGTGGGGGGAAATGCATGGAGGAGTGAAGCTTTGTTCTATCTGCAGTGTTTTATTTTTAAAAAGAAGCAGAAGCAAACATGGCAAAATATTAATAGTTATTAAATAAGCAGTGAGGCATGGGAGAAATATTATTTTCTGTTGTTCTCATAATTAAAAATAAATACAATTGTACATACATTTTGCAATGCCCCGAGCAAGAATAAACCTTCCTCCCCTGACTGCAGGTTAAGCAGATGACCTGAAAACAATTACTAGGGGAAAGCGGGGACACACGCACACACACACACACACACACACAAACACACACACACACCACATATGTGTATATATAATACACATGCATGTACATACAGATAAATATATACACAGATATACATACATATACACACATATATGTATAAATTCAGATTAAAACAATAAGATTTTAATTTTTAAATTATTTCTTCAGTTTCTGAGAGATTGAACTTTTATATATGGGACGCTGGCTTTTTCTGTGATTTGACTGTGTACTGAATCTAGACACTATCTGTGCCTCACATTTGAATGATAATCCTGGAGGATCTGATTCAGGGCAAAGAAGAACAGAGGAAGTCCCTGAATGCTGGGGACCACCCCAGTGCAGGGCTGGAAAGATATGACACGAGGAATTCCAGAAAGGCTACAGGATGAGACCAGTAGAGCCTGGTGGGAAATAGTGGAGAGGGGAGTCAGGAGGCTGGGCCCCACTGCTAGCTCAAATCCCAGCCCTGCTACTAACCACATGTGAGGACTTCACAAGGCTCTGCCCGCTGTTGGGCATACAATCAACCACTGGCTTAGCTCATCAATCAGCATCTTTCCAGAGATGACACTGACTGACTTCTCAAGCCTCTTAATGTAAGTGCCAAAATAATCAGTGGTATTCCAGGGATTCCAGAAGGCTCTCCTGTTTGGTAGATTCTGCCCAACTTCCTTCAGCCTTTCCTCCCTTTAGAGCCTGTTCCTATCCACCCTCTTGGGGGTGCAGGGACCTCCTCTGAGCCAACCTTTGTGTGACTGGGGAATTCTGAGGGGGAAGAGGGTAGGTTAAGGAGGCAGCAGTGGGTGATAGACAGATGTGGTGGAGAAAAAGTTACTAAATGTGGAGAAACAATGTCTTATGAATTCCCCAAGGGCAGGAACACATTTAGTCTACACTGACTCGTTTCTTATCAACTTATACATTGCCCTTCTCTACACTTTCTACAAGTATTACTGTGGTGTGTGTGTGTGTGTGTGTGTGTGTGTGTGTGTGCGCGTGTGAGCTCCGGGTTTTTCCTCAGGGGGCATATGTTTCAAGTAGCCTGAGTTTCCAGTTAGAAAAATTATTTATTTTACTTACATAGATGCTACCACATTCCCGGGGAGGGGGGCGCTGGTTAACCCTCAGGGAGTAACAGAATCTGGTTTTAAACTTTCCAGCTTCTCTACAACCTATTATTTTCAGTTGAGTTTTTAATGATTATTCTCTTTTAATTTTTTGTCTTGCTACAGGACTCCTTCAAATGCTGAGCTCCCTGTGTCTTCAGCTGTTGGCTCTCAGAGTATTGCTTGACAGAGACTGAGAGTAGGAACCACTCAAGTGTAAAAGTCAGGTGTCTCTGCTCAGAGAGATGGAATCTTTCTCAACTTTGAGTATGAGACAGTAGAAAATTTGCTTAGTGTACACAAGCTTAGATTGCAGATACCTTCTCAAGAATGCATGAGTTGGCTTAAGCAAAGTTCATTTGTCCTTCAGAGTTTGGGTATAACTCAAATGCCAGGTGCTCTCTTACTTGCTAGTTTTGGGTCCTCAAACCTGTCTGTGTTTACTATATACTTGGCTTGCTGAATTCAACACCTTTTCCAATGCCCGCTCTTCCCAAAGAATCTAGTCATAGAAAGCGTTAGGAGAAATGTAGACTTTACTGAATATTTCATAGAGGAGGCCTAGGAGGAGGTTGACATAGCACGCTGCTCAGCAAATGATTTCAATTTTTCCCCTAGCTATTTTGTGTTCCCAAGTCCTTCTCATCCATACCAACACTGCTGGCTTTTTTTTTTTTTTCTTTTCTTCTTTTAAATTTTTTCTAGTCTTTCTCTGACAAACTTTCCTGATTTCCTACATTTTTCTTTTCCTTCCACCTTTTTTGAGAAAATGCAAATTTTGCTCCATTCTTTTGCATGGCAGTGAAGGGTCCCTTTTGCTTCTGAAGCATAAAATCTGGGTCTTTATACTTCAAGCTCAGTGGTCCTTTTCAACAGATAAGCTGCTCCTTCGGAAATGATGGACAGATGTAAAGGTAGGTTGGTGTAGCTAGAGAAATCTCACAGTTACCCCAATCAGGAGAGGAGGTTGCCATTGTTCAGAAGTCCTCACCATGTGCAGGGTCATCATCATTGTCAATATTTGGGCGCCTTAATGGCCCTCCACAGAAATGGCTTCCTGAGAGGCATTTTAAGCAGGGAACGGAGAGAGATCATGTGAGAAATGGCAGCAGCTAGTCCCTGACCAAATAGCTGCATCACCATGACCACTGCATGCTCATGGAGTGCCTGCTGAACACACAGCCCTTCCCTACAGGAAACGAAAGCTGTCTGTTGTTGATGTGTTGTCAACCTTAACCCGAACGGAGTCAAGGCCAGTCAGATGGCTTTCCAAATACCAGGAGGCCTTTTAGATTTGGGATGGTCAGCTGGGCAGTCCTTTCTTTTACACATTTCAGATCCCACAGTTCACATCATTTGTCAAGGGACCCTGAACCTCACCCCCAAATTCTGACTCTGTTGAGGGACATGCGGCCAGATCCTATGTACGTACCATCAGATTTATACTGGTGGGAGGTGAGGGCCTTCCCTTTGGTTGGGGGCTTCTAGAACACTGCCTGGAATCCTAGTTCACAGGTCTGGGATGAGACATCCTGGACTTTTGAGATGGAAGAGATTTTGGAGAGATTCAAATCCAGCCCCTTCATTTTTCAGACATGGATCCAGAGTTCCAGGGAGGGGAAAGGAATAGCTCCAGGTCATACAGTGAGTGAGTTAGTGGTTGGGCCAGGGCGTAAATTCATCCCTTCTGATACCCACGTGGGGCTTTTCCCACCAGAGTTAGTGGTTGGGCCAGGGCGTAAATTCATCCCTTCTGATACCCATGTGGGGCTTTTCCCACCATACTGTCTTGCTTCCTTGCCTTCAATTTGAAAGATACTTCACTCAAAACTGTTTTTTTTTTTTTTTTTAAGCCCTGGAGCTGTATCTTCCCAAGAGACAGAAGGAGAAGCATATTATTTAGTATACTTTATGGTTTTAGTCTTGGTCTAGAGTTTTCTTTTTGCCCAAGTGTTTGGATGGATGAAGTACTGTATGGTAGAGAGTGGCTTTCTTCCTGAAGACCAGAAGAAATGGTTCAGTCTGAACTACTATATAAGAAGATAGACAACACATTCTCAAGAGGAAAGGTGTTTGTATCCACATACTGGAATTTATCCACCTTGACTGATATGGTGGTGTTGACCTGGAGGTGCTCCAGCAAGAATTGAGAGAGATTTTGGTATATGTTTTTGGTTTGTGCTCCAGACTCACACACTGTCACCAGTGTCTGCTTTTTGACGTCTTTGTTGATGAGAAGCTCCAACTTCAGGTCAACAGAATGTTCTGGGCATTTCACGAGAAATTGCAGTTGGCAAATGATGACATACCAACCTGGGAACTGGATTACCAGATTCCCATCCTGATATCTGACTCCATGGACAATGCCGTCTTTGTTCCAAGACAACTTGGATTTGTTTATATGCTTTGACACTGGAAAGAGAAGGACAAAAAAAAAAAGAATTACCGAGCATATTTCAGATGCAGATTGGAAAATGTGAAGTTTTTATTCAAGATTTCCCATTCGAGACCCGCGTTTTCTATAACATTGTCTGCTGTTCCAACCATCTGGAATATCTTTCATGTTACTCATTCCAGGTGCTGCTTAATATTCAAAGCACAGGTACAAAACCACCCCTCTTCCTTTTCTCTAATGCTTCAAGCTGGAGGGTCAGAAGACACATGGTAATGGACTACTACCTCCTATAGAATCACTCTCCACTTATTTATTATATTATTCTGTTATTATTATAATTATTAACTTTCCCTTTTCAGACCGTGAGTTCCTGGACTATATTCCCCACAAGTTCTGGACTATCATGTTCATTCAATCAATCAATCAATCGATGCTCCATCACTAAGGACTACTATTTGGTAGGCATTGCATCAAGTATCTGAGATAGGAGATGCAGTTTTGTTCAGTTAGTAACCAATTTAAGCATCAAGATGTCCAGGAGAATCTCAGTCTGTTGATTGCATCCTTTAACAATTCATTGTCTCAATTTTTTTAATGTCTTCCTCTCTTTGAAAGGGCAGCCAAACATAATCATGTAGACTCCGCCAGTGTACAGTCAGGGGCTCTTCCCAGCTGGGATTTTTAGAGAAGCAAAGGATTGGCAGACCCTGTGAGCCAACATGTTCGTGTGGAAAGCCAAGTCTCTCTGAGTCCTAACAAGTGAAAATCAGCACTGATTAGTCAGGGTGCCTTTCAGAATTGGAAGGCAGGCCTTTGTTTTAATTGCCTCCATGCCTTCCCTTTCAACCTCGTTGCAATTCAAATGAAGAGTGAGAACTAATCTGACTGCAAAATGGAATTTTTAAAATGGGCAGAATGGCCATTCCGCGGATCTTGGCCATCCCCTCCATATCTTGGCTTTCCCAGCCTAAGTGCCTCGCACTGTCCTTTAGAAGGGGCCTCTGAGCTGGCGCACACTGCAGTATGCAAATAGGCTGGGCGCCAGCAAGTTCATTAAGTTGTCGATCAGGGGACAAGGCAAGTTTGTGGTTCCCTTGTGAGTAACCCGACAGAGGCAGAGACTAGGAGCCTGCTTCTGTTTCGTGAGGAAAAGTACTGTGCACTTGGCCCCAGACTTGGCCGGCCCCAGACTTGGCCGCCCCCAATCTGAATAGAGAGGGGCCCTGAGGGTCAGACACAAATGCCTTCGGAGGCGAGGTTGGCAACACAGAAAAGCGAAGGGGGCTGAGGAAGGAGGAGTCTTGTGGGTCTCTCCCCTTCGCCCCTAAGTTCTTTAAACTCAAATTATAAAAAATAGCATGCAGGCTAGATACCACATCTGCAGGTCATATTTGGCCATGGGCTTCTCCTTGTGACCTCTCTGGTTTAGAGGTTTCAGAAAGGCCACAGGAAGTGGCCCTCAGGTAGCCAGAGTTCCTGGATTCAGTTACTGACCTTGCAGGTAGGCCCATGACTTCTTGAACGGAGCCTTTTCCAGTATACATGAGATGTCCTCTGAGCAATTTCCTAAAAATAAGGAGATCATATATTAAATGTCTTCCTCTGCTCTGGGGACTGGAGACACCAGATTTTTTTCCATGACCCTTGGATGGAGACAATTAGTATTCTGTTTCCATTTGGGGCCCTCAAAGGAAACCTGTTTATTTCTCATTTTGCCATCAGGTAAAGGATTTTAGGATTCTTTGGAATTGGTTGATTCCACAAAGACTGGAAGCAGCGGGAAGGAAGGCAAAGAGGACCTGAGCTCCCCTAGGTACCAGGTGCCATTCCTGTCCCTTTACCTACTTCACTTCACCCTCGCAGCAACTCAATGAGAGTGGTATTATTAAGTCCCTTTTACAGATGGGAAAAAGCCTGGGCGCCAGATAGATTACGTATACTCTCCCACGTCACTCCGCCTGGCAGTGATGGTCAGAACCGTAGTTCTGATAGTAATTACTGCTATCCTTCCTTTGAGAGCACACCAGATACTAATCTGTGCACTTTTACATATTTCTGCTGATTGAATTCTCCAAATAACTCTGCAAAGTGGATGTCCTGATGCCTAGACAGAGTCAATGACACGAGGTCAAGCAAGTTGGTGGTAATGTTGAGATTCACCCCCATGTCTATCCAATTCTAGAGGCCAGTTTTCCTCCTCCAAGCCATTTGCTGGACAGTGGAGATAAACACATTCTTGTGCTCAATTTTAAGAGGATATAAGATTAAAGAGATCTAAGCAGGAAGCCTGCTACCGGGAACTTCCTTGGCAGGGGAAAAAGACAGTGTTTATGTCATTATGGTATTTAAGGAACAAAAATATTTTTAATATATTCACCGGTGATGCTGGCTTAGCAGCTTCTTATTATAGAAACTATTTTATATGCAAAGAGCCAAGTTATACATTTCCTGCGGTGACTCATGATTTCAACTTACTGTGGGTAAATTCCTTCTTCTCTTTGGACGTTGGTTTCCTATCTATAAAATTGGGAGATCTAAGACCTGACATTGACATCTTTTTGATGATGTCATCAGGGTGACCATTCATTCCATCTGTCAGAGATGAGGCAGCCATGGGCCTGTTTGGTTGAAGCAGCCACACCTTGATGAGTTTGCTCCCTGGATCTCGGAGTGGTATCTGTTGGGCTCACAATATTTCCCATTTGCCTCTTTGCCCCAGGCCTGAGGAAATCTCTCCAGGCCTTCCTCACTTCCCCATGGAGGCTTGGAGAGGTTGGAAGTTAAGCAAACAGTTCCCTCTGCTGTCTGAACAAGCTCACTGCTAGCAGCCACCCCTGCAGAAGCAGGGGGCAGTTTTGATTTTTGTCTGCCCTCAACCCATAGATGCTCTGGCCCAAAGGTCTCCTTGGTGATGAGGGCTGGTAGACCAGATGCCATTTTTTTTTTTTTAATCCCATCTCTTTACCTGGCATTCTTGTCCTGCCTGTTTCAGCCACAGCCCACACTCCTGAGGTTTTAGAATCAAGAGTTACAACATGAGGGCCGCTCATTTTCTAATGCACTGTGAGTGCTGTTAAGAGAGTCCCCCTGGCCAGCCTCCCCTCTTTGGGAGTGTGGAACATTGAGTCAGAGAACATTGCAGCGAGGTATATCTGGCCATGTCTGTTCTCTGCTGGGAGTCCCTTTTGGACTTTGCTGTGCCTGCTGGATCAGGGCCCCGATCCTCCACAGGCGTTCGTGGTCCCTAGTGATCTGTCCCTCCTGCATTCTCTAGTCTCACCCCCACCTCCCCTCCTTCCCTTGTACTCTCAATCCCGAGAGTAGTAGCAATAGGGCAGGCGATAATAATAGCTAATATAGTGATGGCGATTTTCCGGGTCCTCTGAGCATGCTACATTCGGTCTTCCACTTAATTCTTACAACCACCCCATGAGAAGGCTACTACAGTGATTTCGGTCTTGTACATAAGGAAACTGAGGCTTTAAAAGTTTAATGACTTGTTCACATTTGCACAGCTCATCAGTGGGAGAGTGAGGTTCAAACCCAGGCTGTCTGACTCGAATGCCTTGGGTCGATTGCTGACCACGATACTGGTCAGCCCCCAAACACGCATGTTAATTTGCCTCTCCACCTGGAAACCCCCTTCACCGGGAAAGTTATTCCTTATTTAAAGCATGGCCTGGAAGTCATCTCTGACCTTCCCTCTATTTGCCTATTTGCCTCCTCCATTAGACTGTGAACCCTCAGGGCAGAGACAACTATTTATATATCCCCACTGCTGAGCCCAGAAGATGCTCTGTAAATGTTTGTTGAATTGAATCGTCTCGTCTCTCCCTCTTACTTCCCTCCGTGGATGTCAGCTGAGTTCTGGCATGGGTGAGGTGAATGGGGGTGCTTGGCTTCTCTTTCCCCTTGAGGCTGGAAGAACACCTAGCCTCATTCCCACATTAGTTCTTCAGGTTAGCGTAGATTAAATGGGAGGAGAGGACTCATGCCCTGGGCGGAGGCCAACACATCATGCCAAGAACAGGTTCTGCTCATTGGCTGGAGGCCCCCTCACAGCGTGTCACTTGTGGTGGCATCTGTCAGGTGAGCTTCCGTAAACAGGTAGGTGGCTGGACAAGTACAAGCCTGGGCTTGCCTCTCACACATGCAGATTTTGTTTTTCCTTTCCCCTTTGGTCTTTGTATGTTTGCTTGGTTGACCTCAGCTGTAATTCTGAGAAACCCAAGGATGGAAAAAAAAAAAAAAACAAAAAAACAACCCTCATTCTGAAGCATTTGCATTTCCTGAAGTCAAATGGCAAGGTGTATTTTAGTTTTTCTTTAACAACCTTTGAGATGGTTTCAAGCAAAAGGAAAAACACGGGCAACCGTCTCCTAGAATGGCGTTGCTGGAGCTGCCTGAGGGAAGGGGGCTGGGAACGGGACACTGGAGAAGCTGTTGGTGGAAGGGGGCAGTTGAACGTGGAGAGGAGCCCAGAGGAGGGCACGACTGTTGGCCTTTCACATCTGACAGGCTGTCAGCAGGAAGGTGGGGCAGCCTGCTCCGTGGGGCCCAGACACCGAGGCTTTACATGGAGGTTTGAAGAGATGACGCACTCAACTCATAACTAACATTTCCCTTGTCCCTACTTCTCAGATGAGGTGATGGGAAGACCTTCTCTGAGGACACACATCACACCGTAAATCATAGGGCTGGCAGCTCAAATATTTGACCAGTTAGTGCTATTCAAAGATGTGTTGGGCTGTTTTGAGGGTCATGAGGCTCCTGCCAAGAGCCAGTTGGGCACTTTGCCAGCCATGTGTCACCCTGTGAGTCCATGATATGACTTTCTTTTTTGGTTATGAAGACAGGAAGGAGTGATTTACAAATAGGTGGTGTGACCTGTAGCTGGAAGGCTGTGATGTCCCTAGAATTTTGGATGCTGGGAGCATGGGGAGCAAAACACCCCTGTTTCATTAATTTCCCAGCTGAATGTGATGTCTGGAGGGGTTCAGTTTGAAGAACTGACCATTCGGGTGGGGGAAATGAGAACTGTTTGCAAGTCATGGCTGAGTTGATGGCCTGGGAGTTAGAATCTAGGAACTTCCCCTCTCTGGGCCCTAGTGTCCTTAGCTAGATGAAGAGCAGTGTGGCCCTTCTAGTTTATTCCAGCAGGCTGTGTAGACTCAGCTACATATAGCCAGGCTTGCTGCAGCAGGGGGCAAGTCAGTCCCAGTTCCAACTGTCTGTCTTTGTGGGCATGTTGCTCTACCCCGTCTAGGAGACTCTCTTCCCACATTTAGGTTTCCAGACACCTGCAGTGGTAGAATAGAACATTTTAGGTATGGGGTCATCTAAGTTATAAACAGCCTGATTCTGTAAGGATTTGCATGGTTTATAGAAATGGAAGTTCCTGGAGAGGTTACCTGGTCCAGGCTTTGGCAAATATATAACACATACGCTCCACAATGTTACCCCCATGGCAGACTTGTCCTAGGTCACCCCATGAAGTAGTGACAGAGGTAGGACCAGAGCCTGGACACCTTACCCCTTCTATGGGGCATTCCACCTTTCAAACAACTTAAGCACTCTGTGAATTTTTCTGAAGACCAAGGCCTTTAGATGGGCAAGATTTATAAGCCCAAACTTGGCCTCCTCTAGGATCATGGAACTTTTCTGGGCATTGTTTGGAAGCCTGGAGAGACGTATGTGCCAATGAAACCTTCTTGGCCAGTTTCACAGAAGAGAGAGCTAGGGAGAGAGAGATGTTGCTCAAGGTGTTTGAAAAGACCATGTTCTAGGGGTGCCTGGGTGGCTCAGTCTGTTAAGTGGCTGCCTTCACCTCAGGTCATAATCCCAGGGTCCTGAGATGGAGCCCTGCATCAGGCTCCCTGCTCAGTGGGGAGCCTGCTTCTCCCTCTGCAACCCCCACCCCCTGCTCGTGCTCTCTCTCTCTCAAATAAATAAAATCTTAAAAAAGAAAAGACCATATTCTAGAAACCAGCATAATGGCAACCTGAAGACTGGACCCTGTCTTGGGATCTCAAAATGTTAGACTTGAAAGGGCCATTTGATGCCCACTTAACGAAGACCCTGTTCTATGAGTGGGGAAGGACACTGAGCCCAGAGGAACTGAGGGTCTGGCGCAAGATGTCACTGTAGATCAGTGGCAGAGCTGGGTCCAGAGAACACGTCTCCTGACTCCTAATCCAGGGCTCTGTCCTCTGTTAGTCTTTCCATGGAGGAGGAAGTATTAAATGTAGGAAGAAGTGGGTTTGCAGCCACCATGCACACTGGGCAGAAAACTGATGAGACAGCTGGAGGTGCTGGGAAAAGGGCACTAATGAGCCTTCTGGACTCCCTCTCACAGAAGAATGCCAGCAGGTGACTTCAAGACCATGTGCTGAACCTGCCAAGTCCTAAGTCATAAGCCTTGATTGGGCTTCCATCAAGATGCAGCAATGCCCAAGGTGGCAAAACAAACCATGCCAACCATTCTGGCCAGATGGTATGTGGTCAGAGTGCCAGGCACCTTCTAGGCTGATATTCGGACAAGAGAGACACAGTGCATCTGGACTCTG